GCATGCTACGGCTGTTGGAGAAGATGAGCTTAAATTTTATACAGTGTTTCTCGGCCCATGGTGCTACGGTGCACCCTAGTACCTTTAGGTTAATCGAGTGGTCCTATGACTTTGGGGATGACCACCCTTAGGTTTCTCGACGCGTAGAATCCATTTTTGGGGTTAGATCTTGCAAATTCTGAGTCTAAGATGATGATCAACAACTAAAAGTTCTAAGAGAATCCAATGGCAGATCAACGGTGAGATCGCGTCCGATTGATGTGAAATTTCAGCAAGCCGATCGTGGAGCGAGGACGATCATATCTTATGATCAGAATCATAAATCAAATTCGGACGATAAATCTTTGGGGTTAGATCTTGCAAATTCTGAGTCTAAGATGATGATCAACAACTAAAAGTTCTAAGAGAATCCAATGGCAGATCAACGGTGAGATCGCGTCCGATTGATGTGAAATTTTAGCAAGACGATCATGGAGCGAGGACGATCATATCTTACGATCAGAATCATAAATCAAATTCGGACGATAAATCGTTAACAACCTAACATAGTAAGAAAACTCTCATAACCGAACTCAAACCCTCAGGTCTGTAACCAGACTCACGCTCGAGCGAAGGAACTACCGCTCGAGCGAAGGACGGACTAACTCGCTCGAGCGAAGAAAAGCTCGCTCGAGCCAAGAATGCAAAGCTACAGGTCCAAACCATATGGTTTTGTAGGCAAGGGATCTTGGACTTGCATGTGTAGTTTATGCCATTAAAAAGATTATTGAAGATGTTATTTGGCCCTTTAAATCTGCCAGAAGGTTGTACTAATTTTTAGACAATTTTATACTCAAAATTTGAAGATGGTTTCTTCTACAAAGTTGTTGATAATGATGTCTAGTTCATCCAAAAAAACTTTTCAACAATTATTGAATTTTGTACGAATTTATACAGATTTTTAACCAAATCTGGAGCTATAGACAAATTTTGTTATGTGTTTGAAAAATCATTAAAAATTTTATATTAAACCAAATCTGATAATTTCTAAGCAAAAAATGAAATTTGAGAAGTCTAGTTTCATAATAAATTTTTAGATCATGGAATTTATTTATAAAATTTAAGTATGGAATTAATTTAAGGAAATGTGATAAATCTGTGTCATAAAATTTCTGGGAATTTTACAGAATTATTTATAACTTATTTTTGGGAATTTATTTCTGAAAAATGACCCAAACATATTTATTGAATATTCTGTACATTTCCACGAATTTTAGAACTGCATAAATAATTTATTTATAATTTTTATTACCTAAGGTATAACCTGAAAATTTCCAGACAGGTTTAAGATCATGACTTTAATTATTTATTCGGATAAAAATCAGTTATTGTGTTGGTCCAATTCATCAAATATAGTAAATTAGTAATCCATGTATGGGTGTATTGTGGTTTATTTAATATTGTGGTAGTCTAATCTTGTAAATTAAAGATCCATGCACGTGTGTGACTTGGGTTTATTTTCTCTGTATCTAAATTATTGTTTCATACCATGGTTTAAATAAATTGTTTATTTAAATGCTGTACATTTATTTATTATTGTGTGACATGTGTAATATTTTATGTTGGGAATTTTAATGAGTTGATATAACATCAATTGTGAGGTTTTTGTTGCCCTGGCGTTTTATGCCAGGTTTTGGCGAGGAAATAATTGAAGCTGAAATGGAGTTGACGCTAACGTAGAGCCCTGGCTGACTTGAAATCATGACTAAAGTCGAATAACTTTATTATCTTATAAATTAGCTATTAACGACCTTATAATTTCATTTGATGTTGTATTTGGATAATCTTAAGTTTTTATTAAATATTATTTGAACCTTTGGTTATGTACGAGAGCTGGAATGTCCTATTAAGATGTCAACTTTTTAGTTTATTAAGTCATTTTGTTTATTTAATTTCCCTTGATGTTCCAAAAATAAAATTTGGGGCGTCACAAGGCAAGGTTGCAGAAGGAGCAAGAGGATGAAAAGACCAAGGCAGCCTCTAAAAGAGCAGCATACCCCGATCTGTGCATTGCAGCAGTAGAGCAATTCAAGGGGTCTGTTGAATTTCAGATGGCAGTCGATGCCGCGGTCGCCAGCAACTTGGCAAGGGAGGTGTCTGGGGGGGCGGGCCCGTCGGGAGCGACCGCTGGGGGCAGGACTGAAGCAGAAGTTATTAAGAGCTTCCAGCGGTCGGACTTCTACAAACACGAAATGGCTGAGTTCTGGGACAGTGGCTGGAAGATGTTCAAGCGGAAGGCAGAACAACTGTTCCCAGGCTTGGACCTTAGCGGTGTAAGGATTGATGAAGACGACATGGCCCAGACCCCTCTAGATGAGGGCATTGAAGAAGAAGACCTTCTTTCAAGTGAGGAAGAGTGATTGGTGTGAACCGAACTTGTACTTAAAGTTTGTTTTGTGTTTTTGTGTTTTTGTGTTGTTGTTGTTGTTTTTTTTTTTTTTTTTTTTTTTTGTTTTTTTTTTTTTGAATGACTGTAAGAAACTTATGTACAAGTTTGTGAATAAATAAAATTTTGAGTTGCTTTCATGCTACTGTTTTTGTTTGCGCATCTGAAATGAATGAGAAAGGCGACTTGTACAAGGCTTATGTGTAAATCATTGTGAAGTGTAAAATGTAAGGAAAACTCAATGTAAAGTGAAGTTTAACGTGTAAGAAAAATTCGATGCAAAGTGAATGTGGGAAAGACTCAATGCAGAGAGAATGTGAGAAAAACTCAATGCAGAGTGAATTTTAACTTGTAAAAATTAAATGCAGAGTGAATTTTATGGATGCCGACCCAGCGAGGAACAAGACTGATTTGGAAAACGTTGGACTGGGATGTGACTAAGTACGGCCACTATGCATATGATCATGAAGGCGTGATGGTGGCTTCGGCCTGGCTGGGGCTTGAAACAACTCACTCTGGCGGGGCTCTGCATGCTCAGTCTGGCTGAGGCTTTAAGTGACTCGGTTTGGCTGAGCTCTTTATGCTCAGTCTGGCTGAGGCTTTTTGTGGTCAGTTTAGCTGAGGCTTTTGTGGTCAGTCTGGCTGAGGCTTTAAGTGACTCGGTTTGGCCGAGCTCTTCATGCTCAGTCTGGCTGAGGCTTTTTGTGCTCAGTCTAGCTGAGGCTTTAAGTGACTCGGTCTGGCTGAGCTCTTTATGCTCAGTCTGGCTGAGGCTTTTTGTGCTCAGTCTGGCTGAGGCTTTAGGTGACTCGGTCTGACCGAGCTCTTCATGCTCAGTCTGGCTGAGGCTTTTTGTGCTCAGTCTGGCTAAGGCTTTAGGTGACTCGGTCTGGCCGAGCTCTTCATGCTCAGTCTAGCTGAGACTTTTTGTGCTCAGTTTGGCTGAGGCTTTAAGTGACTCAGTCTGGCCGAGCTCTTCATGCTCAGTTTGGCTGAGGCTTTTTGTGCTCAGTCTGGCTGAGGCTGCAATCAAAGCGTTATTGGGATACCACAGGTAATTGAGATATAAGCTTGCTGTTATACAAAGTGTAGCCCATGGGGTCACAAATTTACACTATATGTGGAGAAAATGAGAACATAGATGGTCAAAAAGAACATACAACATTTTGGACGATACAAAGATACAACTTTTATTGAAAATAGAGCTTCAAATGTTCAGCGTTCCAAGGGTGGGAGAGGTCTCGACCTTCCATGTCCTGAAGTCGGTAAGTGCCCGGTTGTGGTTTGGCTTTCACAACGTAAGGTCCCTCTCATTTGGCTGCTAGTTTGCCTTTAGTCGGATTTTTGATGGCAAGAGTTACTTCTGCAAAACAAGGTCCCCCACGACGAACTCCCTTGGTCGGACTCTGCGGTTGTAATGTGTTCTCATTTTCTGTTGGTATGAGGCCCGTCTGACTGCAGTTGTTTCGCGGAGCTCTTCAATCAGGTCTAGGTCTGCCCAACGCAGCTCTTCATTTAGTTTTGGATTCGGATGTAGAACCCTTGGGGTAGGAAGACCGATCTCCACTGGGATGACCGCCTCTGCGTCGTATGTTAAGTGAAAAGGGGTCTCCCCTGTAGGAGTCCGAGCGGTAGTGCGGTAAGCCCAAAGTACATTCGGCAACTTCTCAGCCCAAAGTCTCTTAGTAGCTTCCAGCTTAGTTTTGATAATCTTGAGAAGAGAACGGTTGGTGACCTCAACTTGGCCATTGGCTTGGGGATGGCCTGGGGAGGAGAAACATGGCTGAATTTGGAGCTCTGCATAGAATTTCTTGAATTTGGTATTGTCAAATTGTTTGCCGTTGTCGGAGACGATGGCTTAAGGGATACCAAATCTGCAGACGATTGACTGCCAAATGAATTTGGTTGTGTTCCGCTCGGCAATAGTGGCAAGGGGTTCTGCTTCAACCCATTTGGTGAAGTAATCGATGGTGATAATGGCGAATTTGGTTTGACCTCGTCCAGTGGGCAGTGGGCCAACCAGGTCGATCCCCATTTGGTGAAGGAGTAGGGACTACAGAGGGTGATCAATTCTGTGGGAGGGGCGTGGGGGATGTTGGCAAGATGTTGGCACTTATCACATTTGAGCACAAAATCTGCCGCGTCTTGATTGAGAGTAGGCCAGAAATAACCAGTGCGAAGTATTTTGTGGGCTAGGGATCTGCCACTCGAATGATTGCCACATACGCCTTCATGGATTTCTCTCATCATGTAAGTCGCTTGAGTAGGATTGAGGAATATGAGGTATGGGTGTGAAAAGCCCCTTTTGTACAAAAGACCATTGACAAGAATGTAATTGGATGACCAGGTCCTGACTTTGGCGGCCTGCTGTTTGTCCTCTGGTAGTTCTCCCGTTGTCAAAAATAGAAAGATGTCGGATGCCCAGGGGATAGGTTCATTTTGGAGGAAGTGGACCGCTTGTTGGTCGGGGGAGATGGCAGGGTGGGTCAGGTATTCGAGGCGAACACCATGGTTGAGATTTGACTGATCTGCAGAGGCTAATTGAGCCATCTCATCGGCCTTAGAGTTTTCCGCCCTAGGGATGTGTTTGATGTGGAAGGTATTGAAGAGGCGAACAAGGGTAAGGCATTGTGTTCTCCTTGGCATCGAATTTCCCCGTAATTTGTCCGACAATGAGCTTGGAGTCACTGAACACCTGGATGTGGCTAACACCAATATCCCTGGCTAGGCGGAGACCTGCTATCAATGCTTCATACTCGGCCTCATAGTTGCTGGCCTCGAACAAGAAACGGAGAGCACATTTGAAATAACCACCATCAGGGACGGTGAGAATGAGACCAGCCCCGCTGCCTTCCCTGCGAGATGACCCGTCGACGTTGAGAGTCCATGAGTGAGGGTCTTCTGGGTCGGTAAGTGTTGGTGGGGGTGGAGGGGCCGTGGTTGGGGTAGGTTTAGTGAACTCCAGGAAGAAATCGGCGACAACTTGTCCTTTAATCGCCATTCAAGGCCGGTAGGAGATGTCAAACTGGCTGAGTTCTACTGACCACTGCATGAGTCTGTTAGAGAGTTCTGGTTGCTGCATTACCTTCTTCAAGGATTGGTCGGTGAGGACCACTATGGCATGGGCTTGGAAGTAAGGACGGAGTCGTTTGGAGGCGGTGACCAAGGCTAGGGACAATTTTTCTAACAGTGGGTAATTCTACTCTGTTCCCCTAAGAGCCCTACTGATGTAGTAGATCGGCCGTTAGACAGAGTCATCTTTCCTGATAAGAGCGGCACTGACTGCGGTGCTTGACACGGCTAAATAGAGGAAAAGGGGTTCGCCCCTAATTGCCTAAGAAATGAGGGGGGGGGTTGGCCATGCACTGCTTCAACTGCTGAAAAGCCTCTTCGGACTCGGTTGTCCATTCAAAAGTTTGCTGAAGAACTTTGAAGAAGGGGAGACACTTATCCGTTGTGCGGGAAATGAAGCGGTTGAGGGCGGCAACTCGGCCAGTGAGTCTCTGAACTTCCTTAACCATTTTGGGTGACCGCATTTCAATCAAGGCCTTGATCTTTTCAGGGTTAGCTTCAATGCCCCGCTAACTGACCATGAAACCCAAGAACTTCCTAGATCCTACGCCGAAGGCGCATTTCTCCGGGTTGAGCCTCATTTGGTACTTCCGTAGGGTGGCGAAGGTCTCTCGTAGGTCGGTGAGATGGTCAGTGAAGAGTTTGCTCTTGACTAGCATGTCATCGACATATACTTCTATATTTCGACTGATCTGATGATGGAAAACGGCGTTGACCAACCGTTGGTAGGTGGCCCTAGCATTTTTCAGTCCAAATGGCATCACACGGTAATGGTAGGTGCTTCGGTCGGTAATGAAGGATGTGTGTTCCCGATCAGATGGGTGTATCAGAATCTGGTTGTACCCAGAGAAGGCATCCATGAAGCTAAGCATTTTGTGACCGGCTGTGGCGTTGACCAGCAGATCTATGCGAGGAAGAGGATAATTGTCTTTGGGGCAAGCTCGGTTGAGGTCTGAGTAGTCGACACAGAGTCGTCATTTACCATTATTCTTGCGGACCAGGACCACATTTGACAACCATCTAGGGTAGTCCACGTTCTTGATGAATTGTGCCTCAAGGAGTTTGTCGACCTCTGTGGCGATGAGAGTATTGCGCTCCGGATGGAAAATGCGCTGCTTCTGGCGGTAAGGTCGGAAATGGGGTTCAATGCTGAGGTGATGGGTTATGAATGAGGGCTCAATACCCGGCATGTCAGAGTGGGTCCAGGCGAATACATCGTTGTGCTCGATCAGGAGGGCAGTAAGGTCGGCCTTTGCTCGGGGGGACAGTTGGCTGCCGCCATAATCTTGAGCCAAACATGACTTAGTGATTCAGACGAAATTTAGTCCTCAATTTATTTTCCCAAATGGTTCTAATAATTCCCGGTATCTCATAGACGCGCTCAATTTTGTTTTCTGAACCCATTACGGTCATCAATTTCAGTCCCAAAGTTCTCATCTCAACAGATATTCTTCTAAGTCAAACAGATATTCTTCAATTAATTCGCATAAACACATGATTAATTACTGATAAATATGACACATGTTTTGGGGTCATTACATGCTGTTTGTCGTCTGGAAGTGCCCCTGTTGTTAGATACAGAAAGATGTCTGCGGCCCAAGGGATGGGTCATTTTGGAGGAACTGGACTTATTGCTAGTTGGGGGAAATAGCAGGGTAGACTAAGTAGTCGAGGCGGACACCATGGCTAAAATTGGACTGGTTTGCAGAAGCCAACTGAGCCATCTCGTTCACCTTAGAGTTTTCTGCCCGAGGGATGTGCTTGATGTTAAAGGCATTGAAGAGGCGAACAAGGGGGAGTGCTATGTCCCTGTAAGCCCGCATTGTGTCCTCCTTGGCATCGAATTCCCTCGTAATTTGTCCGACAATGAGCTGGGAGTCGCTGAACACCCGGATGTGGCTAACACCAATATCTCGGGCTAGGCTGAGACCTGCTATCAATGCCTCATATTCGGCCTCATTATTGCTGGCCTTGAACATGAAACGGAGAGCACATTTGAAATAACCACCATCAGGGACGGTGAGAATGAGACCAGCCCCGCTGCCTTCCCTGCGAGATGACCCGTCGACGTTGAGAGTCCATGAGTGAGGGTCTTCTGGGTCGGTAAGTGTTGGTGGGGGTGGAGGGGCCGTGGTTGGGGTAGGTTTAGTGAACTCCAGGAAGAAATCGGCGACAACTTGTCCTTTAATCGCCGTTCAAGGCCGGTAGGAGATGTCAAACTGGCTGAGTTCTACTGACCACTGCATGAGTCTGCTAGAGAGTTCTGGTTGCTGCATTACCTTCTTCAAGGATTGGTCGGTGAGGACCACTATGGCATGGGCTTGGAAGTAAGGACGGAGTCGTTTGGAGGCGGTGACCAAGGCTAGGGACAATTTTTCTAACAGTGGGTAATTCTACTCTGTTCCCCTAAGAGCCCTACTGATGTAGTAGATCGGCCGTTAGACAGAGTCATCTTTCCTGATAAGAGCGGCACTGACTGCGGTGCTTGACACGACTAAATAGAGGAAAAGGGGTTCGCCCCTGATTGCCTAAGAAATGAGGGGGGGTTGGCCATGCACTGCTTCAACTGCTGAAAAGCCTCTTCGGACTCGGTCGTCCATTCAAAAGTTTGCTGAAGAACTTTGAAGAAGGGGAGGCACTTATCCGTTGCGCGGGAAATGAAGCGGTTGAGGGCGGCAACTCGGCCAGTGAGTCTCTGAACTTCCTTAACCGTTTTGGGTGACCGCATTTCAATCAAGGCCTTGATGTTTTCAGGGTTAGCTTCAATGCCCCGCTAACTGACCATGAAACCCAAGAACTTACTAGATCCTACGCCGAAGGCGCATTTCTCCGGGTTGAGCTTCATTTGGTACTTCCGTAGGGTGGCGAAGGTCTCTCGCAGGTCGGTCAGATGGTCAACGAAGAGTTTGCTCTTGACTAGCATGTCATCGACATATACTTCTATATTTTGACTGATCTGATGATGGAAAACGGCGTTGACCAATCGTTGGTAGGTGGCCCTAGCATTTTTCAGTCCAAATGGCATCACACGGTAATAGTAGGTGCCTCGGTTGGTAATGAAGGAGGTGTGTTCTCGATCAGATGGGTGTATTAGAATCTGGTTGTACCTAGAGAAGGCATCCATGAAGCTAAGCATTTTGTGACCGGCCGTGGCGTTGACCAGCAGATCTATGCGGGGAAGAGGATAATTGTCTTTGGGGCAAGCTCGGTTGAGGTCTGAGTAGTCGACACAGAGTCGTCATTTACCATTATTCTTGCGGACCAGGACCATGTTTGACAACCATCTAGGGTAGTCCACGTTCTTGATGAATTGTGCCTCAAGGAGTTTGTCGACCTCTGTGGCGATGAGAGCATTGCGCTCCGGATGGAAAATGCGCTGCTTCTGGCGGTAAGGTCGGAAATGGGGTTCAATGCTGAGGTGATGGGTTATGAATGAGGGCTCAATACCCGGCATGTCAGAGTGGGTCTAGGCGAATACATCGTTGTGCTCGATCAGGAGGGCAGTAAGGTCGGCCTTTGCTCGGGGGGACAGTTGGCTGTCGATTTTGGCAGTTTTCATCGGGTTAGTGGGGTCGATGGGAACCTCAACGAGCTTCTCCACAGGTTCCCCTCTGACCAGCTCGTCCTCATCCCGGACGTCAAATTATTCAATGATCATAGCTTCCTTCAGCTTGATTTCTTTGAGTGAAGCGACATAGCATTCCCTGGCCACGGTCTGCTCTCGCCTTATAGTCCCGACCCCCAGATTGGTGGGAAACTTAATGGCAAGGTGATAAGTTGATGTGATAGCTTGAAAGGCATTTAGGGCAGTGCAGCCAAGGATAATGTTGTAGGCGGATGGGCAGTCGACAACAAAGAAGGTGAGCAACTTTGTAGACTGCCGTAGGTACTCGTCGATTGTGATGGGAAGATCGATGGAGCTGATCGAGGTCACCCGGTCGCCAGTGAAACCGACCAAAGGGGTTTGGAGAGGAGACAGACTTTCCTCCCCAATTTTGAGCTGGCGAAAGCAGTTGAAAAAGATGATGTCTGAAGAACTACCATTGTCGATGAGAACTCGTCTGACCTTGTAGTTGGAGAGGAGGACGGAAATGACGAGAGGGTTATCATAAGGGTAACGGATGCCTGTACAGTCGGCGTCTGTGAAGGTGATAGGCTCGGTCCACTGCTTGGGCTATTTGGAGGGTCGATCGACCGTGGCAACTGCTTTGTCTGAGCCCTGCCTTATCTTTCTGAGTTCTGCCCTCTGAGCCGAGCGGGACGGTCCCCCACAAGCAAGGCCACCTGAAATGACTCTGATTTCTCCAATAGGTGGGGGGGTTACCTGGCGGCCGAGGTTGCTGTGGAGGGCGATCATGGCCTTGGTTAGGTTGGGCTGGCTGCCGGGGGGTGCGCCGGCGGTTGTTTCTGAGGGGCTCAGTTCTTTGCCTCTGCTGAGGGCGGGTGTCCGTGAACCGGCTAAGACGTCCCTGGCGTATTAGGGTCTCGACCTGATCTTTGAGGTTAACGCACTCATTGGTGTTATGGCCATGGTCCTGGTGAAAACGACAATATTTGGACTGGTCTTTCCTATTGGAAGAGGTTCGTGAAGGTTGGGGCCATTTGAGGGGGTAGTCTCGCTGGATCTGATTGAGGACTTGTTCCATAGGGGAATTAAGAGGTGTGTACCGCTCGAACCGACTGGGCGGTCGGGTTGGTGCCGACCGGTCAGCTCGGGGGGGTCGGTCGGTATAGTGCGGTGTTTGGCTATTATACTGGGTGTTTCTGGGTTCTGGGTCTTTTCTCTTTTCTCTGGGGGTCGGGTTTTTGGTTATTGGATCTTGCCGGGCGGTTAGGGAATCCTCTGCATTCATGTATTTTTGGGGTTTGGAGAGTAGGGCTGCCATGGAGGTCGGGGGGTTTTTAGAGAGGGAGAACAGGAAGTCAGAC